CAGGAAGGATAAAATTAAAATGTTGTTTCCACCCACTTCTCTCTCTAACATGCAGCACTTAATGTAATTTATAGATTAAGTACTCATAGCTAATAATGGAAATTTAAAAATGTACTAACATTTTTTTTCTGGAGCAGAGTGATGAAAAACATATTTATTATTTTTTCACTCTGGCTAGGATGTGAATAAATGCAAGTTTTCATGGAATTTTTATATTCTGTACACTACTTTGTGTCCTGGTATGTACAGAAAGGAAATGCATCTGTAATTCTCTACAGTTTAAATAAACAGAACTTCCAGACACAGGCAGATCAAAAGTATATTTTATGCATCATTCTTGCTTTAAACTCTGCATTTAGCTTCAGGGTAGGAAGAGCCATATCTCCATAGAGAAGGATAATATGTAAGATCAGCCCAGACAGACTGGACATATTGAATTCACAGGGTTTCCCAGTTAAGTATATGGGCTGAGGCCATTTGTTGAATGAAAAAATTTAATCACTGAGGAAAAGACAGAATTTCAGTAAAACAGGAACAGTGAAAATTTAATATAGCAGCTTAATACAAAAATAAAAAAGTAGCAGTGAATGATACACAATTGTCAAGTGTTAATACATTTTCCAATTAATCCACGAGACATTACACACCAGCAGTAATCTATTCACATGACACATACAGGCACACACAATATGTTGATATAAATCAGTTGCTGTGCAAGTTGCAACATTTTACTTACAATTTTCAAGTGTCTCTGTTTATTGTTATGTATTTTAAAGTCAACAGAATTATTATAACTGGTCTGAATCTTTGCTTCATTTTAGCAAATTCAACAAGCAATGTTCAGGACACTCATGATGAACTTCAGACAACTGGAAGTGCCATAAGTCAATCTGGAAAACTACTTGCTAAATATGATCGTCGTGAATCCACTGATAAGGTTATTTTATTTTTAGCATTTGTATTCTTTCTTTTCTGTGTTTTGTATATAATACAGAAAAGATTATATTAATTTACATTGTACTACAGTCATTACTCTAAGTGTTTACCACATTGCTTATGTATAAGGATCAAAGTGCAGTGTTCACTGATTTGGTGAAAATCTGAAACGTCTTATAAGTTTATGATTAATTGTAGAAACAATGACATATATCAGAAAATTATTTATGCGTACAACTGTTTTGAACAGTAAAATAATTTCTGAAAACACTAATGTGGGCAACTATTCAGCTGCTGGAACATGTCTGTTCTTGCAAGATGGTTATTTTATTATTTCACAGTAGTATATTAACTTTTGTTAGTTATGTGGCATCAAATTAACCATACTAGAATGTTGCAGTTGATGAACTGGGAGAGATTCAGAAGCAATTGTGACTAACTTTAAGGTACTATCTCAGGGGCTGCCTAAGAGGACAGAAAAATAAGTCTCAAATCGTGGCAGTCATTTTACCAGCCAAAATTGTAAAAGTATTCTGTCTGAATTTGAGTCAGACATGGTGTCACTGTGCCAAATTGTGCACCACAATTTAAATGTGAAAATGAAATAAACATGTTTCCATAATTTGTAATAAGTCAAAAACTTATCAAATGAATCTTGTGAGACCTCTACTATTGTATGACTGTGGGCAGTGTTGAAAAATCAGTTATAAAAAATACTTCATATCAAATTCACAAATCAGTTACGTATGCTTCTAATGTAAGTGTTACTCCTATAAAAATCTTTGTTTATAACAAAATTTCTTTCATATAAAGTGTTTCATTTCTTGTCATCCTAGACATTTTAAGGAGGTTTGATCCCATACATTCACTCTTTTAATGTGGACTTATTTTAAAAATAAGATAACATTTGCCAATTATGCAACACTCAGCATCTTTAAACAGCAGCGCAGCAGTGGTAACAAATTGTAATTACATATATATTTCATGACCAAACTATATTAAAATTGACAACAGAAGAACCAGCTCAGCATTAAAATAATTATTGTTTCTTCAATTAAAATTTTGAGGAGGATGATTATCTTTTGTGCATGGTTAATATATACTGATACATCTCATTAAATCAGTTGCTACAACAAAGTAGAAGTATTGAATTGCTCTTTTGGACTTCATCCATCATTTAAATTACAGAATTATATTTTAAAAGATGAATTCTGCTTTCAATGTCAGGTGGAAAAGATATGTTTCACGGCTTCTCTGTCTCCCCCCCCCCATCTGATGATGAAAGCAGATTCCAACCTTCAAAATGTAATTTTATGACTGAATAATTTAGACAATGGACAAAGTCCAAAATATCAATTTAACACAAAAAGTAGTCATATGGGAACATTTTAATGTTTCTTCAGGATAAATTTATTCTTTTGTATTACAATATGTAGGACGGTTATCTACAGATTTCATTGGTACAGCCAATAAATTGAATCTAACCATGAACTAAGTCTTGCTATTTTTTATAGCATGCATAGTAAAATTATTGGCCAACTTACGTTCTCATTCCTTCATTTTCTGCACATGTCGTTTCTGAAATAAGTGAAATATAACTGTTGTGTACATGCATAAGAAACTTGTATTTTACATTAAACATGAAAGTCTATTGTATTCAAAGAGAATGTAGGATGGGACATGTCCAAACATATTCACTGATATAAGTGACAATGTTTTAAATATAACAAACTCCACAGTAGAGAATATTATTTTAAAAGTTACGAATTATTTAAACAGTCAAATTTTTTTCTACTTTTACCTGTCATATTGTTCACAAAAGCCTAGTTCAAATTTGTACCTTTCACAAACACTAGAACATTATTAAAAAAAACTGGTACTCTTATTGATTGTTATGTGGTTTCTGAATTGGAAATGTATGGGTAATTAACTCAAGGTTATGACAGGATGAATGTGTAGCACAAATGGGGGGGGAATTCATACAAAATTTGGATGGAAAAACCTCTTTCTTGGTAGTCACTTAACAAATCAAGAAGGGGATGAATGGAAATTAAGTATTCATGGCTCATTTTAAGGTAATATGTTTTTTTTAAATAGGGAATGAGGAAACCTTGAGAAATCTGTTAGGGTAGTCAATTTCTAACTGAGATTCTAACTAGGTACCTTCTAAATGGATACCAGTCAAAAACGTGAACAGTGTGATACTTAAACACATGTAGACATTTATAATATTATCAACTGGGGAGAAGTACTGACCACAAAACTCAGAATCTGCTGTTACACAGAACAGGTTAGCATAGTAATAATAAATATGATGAAAATTTTGGAAGTATCTGGGTCAAATCTCTGCTGCTCTGAGGCTTGGAATTATTTTCCTCAGTCCTGCCACACAAATGCAAATATACTGCAACTACTTCCACATAACACCAGTTTCATTCATGGCCATCTCGATAATCTCTCTCCACACATGGCAAAGAAATTGAAATTTCTGAGACTGCAAATAACTAACACCATGGATTAGAGTCTTTCTTAAGAAACTGACAGTCATAGCTACTCAAGAAATTACCCAACTTTGAAGAGACATGAAGGTTCATTACAATGTTCACAAAAGCCTAGTGACCCCTACCTGAGCCAGCTTACTACAGTCTGCACCATATTTTCAGAATAAAATAAATATAACAAAGGTGAAGATGACAGAGGCAAGTGGCAAATTTGTATGACTGATGTAAAGTAGAATTACACTTATCAGAAACTTTCACAGTGGCCTATGATGTCATACAGTCATCCTCTTGACCTCCTACAAAAGGATGGTAAAAGTGTAATAATTTGTGTTTATAAAAGTTCAATGATCTAACTCCCTTTCAGTCTCAAATATCATACAGGGGCAAGTGCCACTTTATTTCACATCATCTATACTATCCACATTACAGAATATACAAATTCACTTGACAAGTGGCAGAAAAAAGAGGATGATTGGAAACCTAGGGGTAGATAGGAGGGTAATATTAAAATGGATAATAAGGGAATAGGTTATGTATGTGTGAGCTGGAATGAATTCTCAGGATAGTGGTCACTGCTGAGGTATTGTGATGATGGTGATAAATCCTCAGATTCAATAGCAGCAAAGAATGTCTTGATAAGCTGAGTATTATTTAAAAAATCTACTGTTCCATTAAGTTAGTGAATATGAAATTTGATATTGATTCTGCAGTAATTTTAAGAAGTGTGTATGATTATAAGCAACTGTTTTTAAGTATTTACTGTTAATGACTAAGTTCTTTGGATATAAAATAATATATACTTGGTTTACCTGTGTAAAGTACTTTTTCTTCACATCCTGTAATTCTTTGTTTACTTTCTCCAAGTCAAATTTATATTCTGACACTTGGGCTTTGTACATGTTTAACTCAGACACCAAACACTGAGAAAGAAGAACAAAGTAACAAGAAAAATAAGACAGTCTCCTGCTATTTGAACGGTTATAGTTCATTTATATCCTTATATATCAGTGGGTGGTGACTATTGAAAGCTGACAATTTAGGCATCAAGACAAAAAAAATTATCGCAATAAGTTTAAACATGATCAAAGACTACGGTAATTTTAAAAGAGACAAGCTTCTTTACCATTTTGAGAATTGTGATGGTTAGGACTATCTTTCATAATGTATCACTCTCAAATGCCAAATGACAAAACATCTGAGAAAAATTTATTGGACAGATTCCATATTAAGTTACTTTAAAGAATAAACATTGCAGTATGTGCTACATGATAGTTGTCGGCTGCTGCAGGCACTACCCAAGCCACCCAGGTGAGAATCTGTTATTGTCCACAACAGTGTACATGGTGTCTGCACTCCAGCGGTGTTCACTCCACTGTTACAAGTGCATGCTGCTCATATTGCGTGTATAACAGAAGTGTTATTTTGAATGGTAGTACTAAGCAGAGCATGCACATGGCAGGTCATATTAGCCTTGCTTTCTCCCAGCCCCTTTCCATTAGATACCAATATAAATAACAGACAATAACATTTAATCTCTAGTAAATAATCTACAAAATTACAAAGCCAATACACTTAATTTCATATTGTAGTCTTCTGGTCTGTGATATCATGTAGTCTTGTAGGTGCTTATGAATATTTTGGAGGACCTCTTACCTCCATTTTTGCTCTTTTCAACTGTGAAAATAGAAGCACAGAATTCCTCTGAAATGGCAGCCACGTACAACACCACATGGTGCATGGTGTCACAGCCTAGAAGACCACAATCCACATTTTTACTTCCATAAGAACCTCAGATCTCATACCATTTTATATTCCTTTTGTAGAATATAAATTCATCATGTCAACTGAAAATAATAATGTGTAATTTAAAGTATGTGGAAAATGAGAAATATAAAATGAAGCTTGATGAGATAGTGATATGGACAATAAGAAAGAAGGAGACAGAAGAGGATGATTATGATGATTATTGCAATGACATGTTATACAGAGGGTGGAACATCAGTGTGTTATGCTGCACCTACAATGTGATGCAGTTAAAAAGAAAAACAATATGAACAAATGTTTTATAACATTGTGTTTAATTATTGGATTTTGTTCTTGAAATTCATAATTCTGAATATTTTTTTTTAATAAGTGATCTGAGTTGTCATGAGGAAGTTAGGAGGAGAGTAAATTCTGGAAATGCTTGCTACTTCTCAGTTCAAAATATTTTGTCTCCGTCTGATTTCTAAGAACCTGAAGATTAAAATATAACTTAACAATAATTCTGCCTGTTGTTTTGTATGGGTGCAAAACATGGTCTCTCACTCTGAGGGAGGAACACAGATTGCAGGTGTTTGAGAACAGGGTGTTGAGGAGGATATTTGGGCCTAGGAGAGAAGAGGATGGGGTGTGGAGAAAACTGCATAATGATGAGCCTAAAAATTTGTACACCTCCCTCAATATTGTCAGGGTGATAAAGTCAAGAAGAATGAGATGGGGAGGGCATGTGGCACAAGGTGTGCACCGGGTATTGGTCGAGAAGCGTGAGGGGAGGAGACCACTGGGGAGACCTAGACATAGATGGGAGGATAATCTCAGGCAGGTTCTATGGGAGATAGGACTTAAAGAAGACTGGATTTTGTTGGCCCAGGATAGGGTCCGGTGGAGGGCTTTCGTTAATTCGGTGATGAACCTTCGGGTTCCGTAAGCCATCTAGTTAGTGATCTGATTTGGAATCTACATCAACATGTGTTCCTTTTGAGTGACTAAAAAAATATGCACTTTTGTTTTTTGTTATGAAGTTCTCTACAACTAATTATGCATGCATCTGAAATCCATCTCCTTTCGAATTTTAACTCTACTTTTGCATTATTTTTGTTTCTTAGATCTTGTCAGGGGGAATATTTCTTCACAGCCTTATTCAGACACATTAGGTAGGAGATAAAATGTACATTTATAAAGCACATGGTGATAATACAGCAGAAATATTGTAAGCTTTATGTAAAAGTGGTTTAGAAAGGTCTTTTAGAACAATTTTATGAGCTCACTATTTTAAAGTTTCTATTATAAAAAAATTAATCTCTTGCCTATAGTCATACAAATTCCTATTACTGGTTTTAATGAGGCCATTAAGAATATTATTTGTCAGTGTGAGCGTATGTGTGTAAGGTGGTTAGACATGAATAAGCTTGGCTGGTGTTGTGTGCTCACTACTACTGCTACTAGTACTTCTAGTACCACCACCACCATGACTACTAATACTACTATATTACTATTATAATTATAGTGTCACATACCTTCATTTTTCGTTCTCTGTCCTTGAGGATATGTTGTGTTTCTTGTAACCTGATGGCTACCCTGGGGCCTGACTGACAGGCTAGGACTTCACATAAATTTAGGTAGAGATGTTCAGATTCTTGTAACTGGGCCTCTTGTTTAATGGCTGTTTGGGTTTGTACTAATAGACGCTTCTGTAGGAGCTGACTCTTCTGGATTAGTTTGTATGTAGAAGGATCTGAGCCCTTCATTCAATAAGGGAAATAGAGATGTAATGTTATAAATATAACAATACGATTCTTTTTGTTGAGTTTATTTTATTTTATTTAATATTCTGTCTGACGACAGGTCCATATGAACAGGATCCTTTTATCGGACTGGGACCTGTTAATATACGTTCTTGGCAGATGATCAAGAAGTGGTTTGCCATTGCCTTCTTCTGTGTGTGAATGGAGTAATTGTTGGGATGCCACGGAGAAACCGGGGAAGCCTGCGGAGGAAAACTCCGTGTTGCCTAGACCACGGCCTTGCCTAACACAAGTTATAAATTCGGGCACCGCCGGGAATCGAACCCGAGACCCCAGGATTACAAGGCCAGCGTTCTAACTTTGTTACGTATCAAGAACAAAGAAAACAATTTCTTTAATCTTTTCAACATTATTATCGTTGTGTGGCAAAATCTGCTTCACCATTTTTAGTGTGTATGCCCAATACCAAATTCAGTTAAAATCCAATCAGTACATTCACAGGTTAAACAAACTAGTGGGCAGACGGATACATATATTTGTGAATACAAGGTATCCCAAAATTCGTGCCCATGGACGTAACCATGCTAATTCTTGCGAAATTTTAAGACAAAAATGTTCTTTGTTGACATTTAAGCCAACACGATATTTCTATGGTAAACACAATAAAAGTTCAAAGTGATGTGGCAGCACTATTTGAAAGAGGAAGTTGTGATCAAGATTCTTGATTGAAAAGCTGTTGCATCATTTCACTGCAGATCAGCATTAGTGTGCTTGCTTTGTATGTGGCTGTTTCAAATTTCAATCCCTGACATCCAATTATTTTCCCCATGTTTTCATCTGGTTTTGGTTCCTTCTGTAATTCTTAAATTATTGTATCTGCTTTTATATTTTCACTTGTTTGTTTTGTCATTGCTTTATTTCAAATTTTTTTGGTAAGTGGATTTTTATCAACATGATATTTTGTTGAACAACGGCAATACTACCTACAATCATTCACTTCAGTTAATTATAATTAGTGTGCTGTATCAACAGCCAGAAGGCCAATTACAGATACGGCACAAAAGTGGAACAAAAGAACACAATAATAAATACAAAATGGTAACAACAAAGAGATTATCTAAAATTACATGATTGTAGGCATAATAAAGGCAACTTGCTACTGAATACATATGTTTGTACTGAAAGTTTAATTACATAACCTAAGACATATAGACAAACATGAGAAGAAAATATGCACACCATACAAGGTACTTGATGAGAGAATTTACGTAATTCCAATGATAACACACTGCTGGTCAAAGATGAGTAGTGGAGGAGAGAAAGGGGTCAAATTTATATAAATTTGTATAATGTAATTAATATCTAAAACATGGTTGTGAAATCGAAGTTTTAGAGTCAATAAATATTCCCAGGTCTTTAATAGTATCGGTACATGTTACAGAGAACTGGGTAAGTTTATAATCATAGATCAATGTAGTGGTTTTTCTTGAGAAGGATGTTACTCTGGTTTTACTAATATCGAGTTTCATGAAATTAGCAGTGCACCAACCTTGTACATAGTCAATGTCAGTATGAAGTTGATTGCAATCGGGAGATTCAATAGCACAAAAGATTTTGATATCATTAGCGAAAAGAAGGCATCTAGAATGATTGATTACATTGCATATGTCATCAATAAATAATTTGAAAAGCAGAGGACCCAAAACATTCCAGCAGAACTATAGAGAGCACTACAAAAGGAGACGAAAGAGTTCCAGGAACAGGAACCTGAGATTGTTGGTTAACTACAAAACCACTTTACATAACCACCAGAAAGTCCAAAAGCACTGAGCTTTTTGAGGAGCAGGGTCTGAGGAACAAGATCAAATGCACTGCTTAGATGAAAATATATAGCATCAGCTTGTCCTTGGGAGCCAACTATTGGGTTAATAAGTCATGATAAGTTACCAGATCTGTTATGGTAGATTTAGATTTTGTAAGACCATCCTGACAAGGATTTAATTTAGACTTTACATAATGTGAGACATGATCATGAATAACAAGTAACAAATAATTTGGAAAAATTATGAAGCATAGAAATATGTTGGTAGTTGCTAACAGAAGCAGAGTTACCTTTTTTTAAAAACAGAACTACTGCTGCCTGTTTCCGTACAGTAGGAAAATAATGCTGTGTTATACTTATATTAAAACTATATTTGAGTGCAGGGACAAAGATCTCAGAACAATCCTTTAATCAAAGCTAGGGATGACATCAAGTCCAACAGATTTATATTGTCTTAGATGTCTAATTGCTTTACAAATGTCCAATTCAGAGATAGGGGCTAATGATAAGAATTTGGAGGACTCTATAAGGGATGGTAATACTCCTAAATAAGGGGTACTGTAGACAGACTGAAAATTCTCAGCAATAATACAAAAATAACCGATCATAAAACAAAGCAAATGCTGTGGCAAAAATTACAAGAAACCTTTGCAAGGATTCGCATGGTTAGGTCTGTGAGCGTGAATTTTGGGACGTATGTATACTGCTTTCCAAATCATGCAGTCATTTAACATGAACGATATGCACAAAACATAAAAGAAGGAAGGCACAAGCATGATTTTTATGTAGTGGAGACTCTCAAATAATGTATCTATTTTACTTTATCTTTTTGTTACATTAGCCTCACTTTTAAAAGATGTTTAAGTGTCTTACTTCCAGTTTCCTCCAGTGATGGATATTAAGAGGGCTTTGTAACTCCTCTTCCAATGCATGGCACTTCAGTTTCTCTCGAGTAAGTTCTCGCTCAAGATGGAAAATTTCTTGGCGCATATCAGTCATACTGGTCACACGTTTTGACAGTAAATTTTTTTCTTCCCTAAAGTACACAGGAAAAATGATAGAATAACAATGTAAACCCATTAATATTCCTCAATTTAAGGATTTGTTTTATTTAATGCTTCAAGGCCTGGTCATTTTATATAGAAATTACAATGGTGATGTATATTTTGGACATGTCATGAAAAAAATCACTGCTTATAAATATGCATATTCATGTATAGAATTTTGAGCAATTTCAGATCAATGATTGAAGAAGAAGACATTGATTTTTTATGTTTTTTCATAATTATTGAATAAAAATGCTGAAAATAACTAAAAATAGAAACATTCCACATGGATGCTATAGTAAACCTAAAAATATTTTAATGAAGAATAGCTATGAATAATGTATAACAGACACAAAGTCTGACTGCATTTACGAGGTGCGATCGGAAAGTTTCAGACTGCGCCTATAAAAACCCGTACACTTATCTCAGGTATTAAATTCATCCATCACCCTCGAAGTAGTTCCCCTGGGAGTGAACACAACGATCCCAGCGCCGCTGCCAAGCCTGGAAGCATCCCTGGAAATCTTTCTTTGTCAGCCTGTCAAGCACCATCTGCGATTCTGTCTGAATCTCTTCTATCGTCTCAAATCTCCTTCCCTTTAGTTGAATTTTCATCTTTGGGAAGAGGAAACCTTAGAAAGGATGTTGGGGTCGGTTCTTGCAAGATCTTTTAGCTCCTGACAAACGAGAAGTCGATTCTGCTTCTGGTCCTCAGACAGGATGTGTCGCATGTGGAGTTCTTCCTTTAGAATCAGCTGACAGGTCCCAACAATGTCGCACAAGTCGTTGATGGTACGACGTCGATCTTCGTGAATGGCCTGCCGAATCTTGGTAACATTTTCGGGCGTTGTGCTCGAAGATGGTCGTCCAGAACGCTCGTCATCATCGACAGGGGTTCGGCCATTTTTAAAACGTGAATGCCACACAAAAGTTTGTGCACGACCCATTGCGGACTCCCCAAATGCTTGCTTTAGCATTTCATAGGTTTCCGTAGCCGTTTTGGCGAGTCTTTAGCAAAATTTGATGCACACTCTTTGTTCATGAAAATCCGCCATTCCGAAATCGCAGGAGGGTCGGTGTAATGCACTACTAAAACGCCCGTAACTAAGAAACAAATGCTAATTCGATGATGCCGGCTGGCACACTGATTCACTATGAATGTAGGCCGCACCCCCTAGAGGCAGAAGCTCGTACTACATCCGGTTCGCCCTCTATTGACACAGTCTTGAAACTTTCCGATCGCACCTCGTATATTTCATTATCCAGGATTTTCATTAGTCATGTCTGTAGAGTTTAATTTAAAAATTATAGTTTCTGAGGCTGCATTTTTATTATGAAATTATATATTATAAAGCATAGGATGTTCTCCTCTAAACCAAACCAGATGCAAAGTTTGAAATCTGGTAGTGTCCAAAACAGCATTTTCCAACTTTATAAAACAATGAAAGACACCAAAAACAGTCAGTATAGTGACTAGCTACGGGCTGGACGACCGGGGTTCGATCCCCGACGGGGGCAGAGGATTTTTCCTCTAGCCTCTGCGTCCAGACCGGCTCTGGGGCCCACCCAGCCTCCTCTACAATGGGTAACGGGGTCCTTTCCCGGGGGTAAAGCCGGCCGGGGCGTGATGCTTACCACTCACCCCCATCTAGTGCCGAGGTCAAGGAAGAGAGGAGCTATACCTCCACTCACCCCAAACGCCTACATGGCGTATAGTGGGACAAACTTTACTTTACTTACCATGTAAGTGCTCGCGTAAAGTTCACACTATAATTATATTTTTCACTTAAAACACATAGTGATAGATTCGGGGTAGCTCAGTCAGTATAGTGACAGGCTATGGACTGGATAACCGGGGTTCAATATCTGACAGGGGTAGAGGATTTTTCCTCTAGCCTCTGCATCCTGACCGGTTCTGCACCCAGCCTCCTATGCAGTGGGTACCAGGGTCCTTTTATGGGGGTAAAGTGCAGCTGAGGCGTGATGTTGACCACTCACCCCCATCTAGTGCCGAAGTCAAGAATGAGTAGGAGCTATACCGCCTCTCCTCCCAAGTGCCTATGTGGCATGTAGTGAGACAGCTTTACCTAACTTTTTACACATCGTGATATGGCATTGCCGTTGAGTGATGTATGATCTGACTAACAGAAAATCTGACAAGGCAAGAGAAGGCTGTATGGCATTTGTTGACCAACAAATATTGTCCACAGACCATGAGAAAAGCCCTGCGGGGGGGGAAGTCGTTTCTGGGGCGGTACAGGGGGAATGTTTACTATCAAGTGGACTAGAGGGCTGCTATTGGTGGGAAGTGTGATATGTCAGAGTTTTACACTATCACACACAGACTGAAAACATCAAGCAGTTAATAGTAGCCTGTAGTGAGTGCACCACTAATGAGTTCTGTGGGTGCTGTGATAATATTCTAGATTAAATCACTGTGCCACGTTGTTTACAGTGGCCCTGTTAAGTAATAATTTGTTCAGATTAGGAAGTTACCAGAATGTGAATAATTTAAATTAACAGGCTTGATAGCATCAGGATACAGAGAATTCAATTAGCATAGCAAATATTAAAATAACTGCAATGTCACTGGAAGTTTACATCAGAAGACTGTGTAGTAATAAAATAGAGTATTACCTGAGTCTCTTAATCTCCAGTTTCAGTAGACGAATGTCCTCCAACCTCTGATCATAATGTACTTCACCTTTATGAAGTGTATTCTGTAGAATGTTTATTTTTTCATACAGCAAAGATAACTCATGATTTCTCTTAACTAACTCTGTTCCTAGAATGTGTTGTTCATGAATTATCTGAAAATATATGATTCCATCTATAATTTAAATTGTAACCTTCAATGCAATAATTTTGTATTCTTATGTATTCTTTGTAATATTTAGTGTTCAATCAATAATGCACACGTGTGTCAAAGATTGCAGAATATGAATCATCATTTACCATTGTTGGTGACAAGCATATGCATCATGGATCACTCTTACTGTTCCTTTGAACAAAATTAAAATATAATACTGGTCTCTGGGGTCAGTCTTCCACTTATGGACAGCAGTGTGTGTTAAATATCCTAACACACTAGTTCTGTTATGCTTACTTTTATTTACTGGCTGGTTTATCTTTGGGGATAGTCGATTTGAAATTTAAAGTCAGGATCATCTTAGGTGCTGGGTATTTAACACTGAGGTAACTGGTTGGGACCACTGAACTTGTACACAAAATGATGAAATCCTTAAATTGAGATTCCACTGTAAAAAGAAATAAGAATTGATACATATATTACAGACTGTTATTGTATTGACATAAGCAGCTCTTCATAGGTACCCACAGATGGGACATTCTGCATCAGTTTGAATAGCGCTGTCAACAGCATAATAGATATTTTGATTTTACAAGTAGATATCCACAAAGTGAAAGTTTTTCCAGAGTTTAAATTTTCTAATGTGACTAAATTCCTAGATATTAAGTAATGAAATTAGGCAAATTCTAGGATGTGGCACCCATTTTTTTTACAAATATGTAAAATATCTTCATTATTAAATTGGAAGAAATACAAAATCTGGTGCCCAGCAGTACTTTTTCTCAGAGAATCGATTGGTGTAAACTATATGCATATATCTGCAATCATTTGAGAGTTAAGACCTTTGTACCAGTTCTTTTCCTTTAAATTAAAACCTGATGTGGTAATACATTTAGAAAGGTGAAACTTTTACCAAGTACAAGGGACTGTATTATCAGATAAAATTTTAAACAGGGCAGACTTTCACTGGAGTGATGAAAAATAAATGTTTAAATGTGTAGAAGATAGTAAATGAAACATGCTTCAAAACCTATAAACATTTTGATCAAATCATTTGAAATTAATCTTAAGAAAGTTCTTACAAATTATGTCTATAACAGTTTGCTGAGGTCTATACTGTTGTCCAATCCTTACATACAGTGACGTACACTGTGGCCATGAAACCAAAATATTTTGTCTTTTTCTCTCCATAAATTTTACAAGAATAACACATTTTTCATCATTATGTTCAGTTATATGTCTGATGTACCAGTCACTGTTGTATACAGCAGCAGCAGCATACTTTCCAGGACATAACTGGCTTGACTGTACTGCAACATGCAAAGCTCACTTTGCTATCTATATCTTCTTTATCTGATGACAAGAACTATATCTTATTCTCTGTAGTGTTAATTAGGCAAATATTTACTGTGGCTCTGCGTACCTGGGATAGTTTTAGGATATTGTAACATGTCAGTCTTAGAACATGTGCCTTGATTTTTTTTGTGTTATGTAGAAGAATTTAATTACTGTGATCTTTCTTTGGCCCATTTATATAAATCTTCTGATGTTAAAATGTGGTTTGTCCAAGCTGCTTGAAGACAAGCATGTGCTAAAAGTCACTTTATTTTTCCACCAAGCCCATTGAAAGGACTTTTGCAATGTGAAGTACCAAAGGAATTCCACTCTGCAGCTACATGCAAATCTTCATGATAACATAAGTTCAAGAAATTTTTACAGTTCTTATACTGTGAACTTGCACCATCACTGAAGCAATATCCTTAAGTATTGTAAAACATCATAAACCAAATTTTGTGCAATGTAACTTTTGAAAGAATTGACTGTAGTTGTTATATGCTCAAGACAGTCACCAATGACACACAAACTTACAAACTCTTATTCTTTCATGCTATTTTCTGGTTGTAATGAGCAATAACAGACTACAGACAGGTGGACAGTAGCCTGATCAGTTTCACAGTGGAACCCTTGTATGGTATCTTGACATAAAAATAAAAAAATATCTGAAAAATCAAGTAAAATTATAGCTCCTGTGTTTGTACGAATGGATTCAACATCTTCAAATATGAATATGCATACACATTGAATGCATTCCCCTCTTTAGGAGTAGGCTTACAAACTTCTTCCATTTTTCAAAGGCATCCACACAATAAAAATAAAAGAATACTGTTGGTAGAGTTCTCTCTTGACTCAATTGTATATTCTTATTGGCAGAGATGCCAGACTTCAAAAGGATGAGCTTGATACTGGTGCATAATTTCAAAGTTTAATTTCTTGAGACTGGTGAAAAAATCTACATTAGTTTTTTTCCATTACAGATTAAACAGTTTTGTTATACTTGGTAAAAGTTTGAGCCTTTTAAATGCAGCCCCACAATGCTTTTTAAAGTTTTTTTAAAAAAAAGGCTGGTAGAAACGTCATACTCCAAAACTACAGCAGATATATGCATACACTTTGCACCAATACATTTCTTGAAACAAACTAATGCTGGATAACAAATTTTTGTATTTCTGACTTTTTAAATAATAGATATTTACATATTTGTAAAAGAAATTACCTGCTACATGTGCCTAATTTCATTAATTCATATCAAGGGATTTAATCACAACAAAAATTAAAACGTTGGACAAATTTTTACTTTATTGATATTTACATGTGAAATAAAATCACAAAAATTTATGATAGTGGGGCTGACAATTGAATTTTGTTTGATTTAATATGGGATGATGGCAGTTTGTCATGCATAGAGAGAAAGATCTACAAGTGGGCAATGCTGCCAGATTTCTTTCCATCATAAACAGTTCATTTCATTATCCTTAGTTCAATAACACACACATGAACATGGCATTCTCATGACTTGTGAATACTGAGCATTCATTCTCCATCGTCCACTTCACACACTTATATCAATGAACCACCCTAAAAACTTGGTCTCTAGTTTGTCTAACAAATACTGAATGTTAATTTGGTGAGAGGATTATTCAGAAAAAATATGGTTCCTATTTACCTGGTCCATTACTTTCTTTTGCTTCTTCCTCTCCTCATCTGTATCCTGTATGAGCTTATGCAACTTCCTTTCTTCCAAGTTAAGAGCCGTAATTTGTTCCTTGCTATCATGTAATTCATCTTTCAGTTTTCTTACTTCAATTTTTTGATTCTCTCTTTCTTTTTCACTTTTCTGTAATGCTATATAACAAAAACTATTTCAGATTAATGTATCAAAAATTAAACATATTATGTAGGTTAGTTTAGATTCATTTAGTTTACTCAGTTTAAATATTTTTATACAGACTAATTAACAACTAACTCCATGGAGCAGAGACCATCTTGTGACGCTGATAATGCTCAGCTAGTCAGGAAATTACCTTTTATCAAATACATAAAAGTCAATTAGTAATCACCTGAATACATAAAATCCTGAAATGGTTACAGTGTTAAGTTACTGAGTGTTTGAATACTGGCCTGAAGGTTTGAAAAAGCACCAGGGAAAAATGAGATTTCTGGTTCCTACAACGGCAAGTATGAAGATGACAGTCTCTGGATTGTTGCACCATGTAGACTGGTAGAAGTATATCACACAAATATTGCAAGAACCCAGAAGACAGCCATCTTCACCAGGGACAACTTTACCTTACCATTATTTTGTATAATGAGAAAAGTTAGTAAACTTTGATTTGAGCTTCATGTCAAGTAGGGGTTATATTGGATCAATTCAAACCAACCAAATGAACTTGAAAACCTTGGAAAGAAATCAAGTAACAAGTTTAATCAAAATCCACTGAGTAGTTTCAGATAAGAAACATGCAAATGAATGGACAGAAAAAACCTCACCATTATCTGCTCATTTATGCACTTCTTGCACCAAGTCTATATTTAGAGACATAGAGCAAATTATAAATCCATATGCTCATGATGAATCACCGATCAATGTCACTGAATCACCTCCTGCAAATCTCAGCTCAGAGACTGGCTATCCTGAATGGGGTTTTGATGGTTTTCCTCAGTTCCTTGAGGCAAATTCCAGGATAGTACTTTAAATTAGGCCACAACCAGTTCCTTCTACATTCTTTCCAATTCTTTCTTCACTATCATCCTCTCATTTGATGCTATATATTTTGAGCTACTGAAAAAGCATAAATATCACATCCTGCATTTTAAAAGTATAAATACAAAATTAGAAGTACAGTTCTGATATTACCATGCTCTTCTTTCATGAGCTGTCTCTCTTTTGTTGTAATGTCCTCTTTGAGTTGCTCAGTCAGATAGCTCATAACCTTCAACTTCTGTGTAAGTTCAGAAATTTCATCCTGCAAGAAATATTAAAGACAAGAATATTAAACACTTGACTATTTATATTAGATAAAATGAGAAAACAAGCATCCTTATGGTATGACAAAGCACAGGTATATGAGAAATGTATCATTTTCTTTCTTATGTTCCTTCCCTTTTCTATCTCTTCATATTTATTTGTCCATTTGCCATCATGGGTGAGTTAATAGAAACACATGAGTACATTTCTATACCCTAATATATATACACATGCACATGTGCACACACACAGTGTACATAAAATCATGTCACAAAATGAAGTATCTTTTCAATATGATGCTAACTGAATCCAGCAGTTTGCAACATGATGGAAATATGGGAGTTTTTATCTATTGGCAGCAGATAACACTAAACAACCAGTATGGGTACTGTTTGTTTCAAAATGGCAACTGTACAAGGGACAGTATGTTGTGTAGAGTGGTTATTTGAGACAGATTCAACAATCCAGGAGTAATGAAACTTCAGGAGACTATTCACCGGACAAGATGCACCATCCAGATGTGACATTAAACACACTTATAATTAGTTGATGGAGATAGCAGTGTATTGAAAGCATAATAACCATAAACACCCTGTTTATCTGAAGACCAAGTTGAGACAATAAAGGAATCTTTTTGGCTAAGACCCACTAAATCAAGTTTTCATGTATTTCAGGAACTACAGAGTCCACACTCAGTCATTCATAGAATGCTTCGCAAGCACCTAAACTATATGCATACTAGGTGCAAGTTGTACAGGCATTATGAAACAGTGACAAACCAAAAGAATAAAAATTGCTATGGACATGTTGGACAGAACAGATGAAGACATCATTTTTGCTGAGAGTTCTTTTCTCAGATGAAACAACATACCATTACAACCTTAGGATATGGGCTCTGAATAGCCATGTGTTATAAGAAAACATGAGAGAGACAGCTTGAAGGTCATCTGGTGCATCTTCATGCTTGACCACATAATTGGAGCTTTCTTTCTTTCTTTATTTGTAGAAAACACACTCACTCACTATATGGTGCAGGAAATTTTTCAAAAAGTTTATTGTATACTTGGCTTGTCAAATAATAGCCCACTTTATTCATGGAACACAAAGGTTCATCACTGTGTTCCCACTGTGTGCCACCAGACTCTATCCTGAGCTAGCTCTACCTATTTTGCCCCATCAATTCCATCTCCCTAAGATCCATCTTATGTTGTCCTCCCACCTATGCCTAGGTCCTCCCAGCAGTCTCCTCCTTTCACGCCTCCCAGCCCACCTCATCCTCTTCGATTTAATCACACCAGCAATATCAGATTAGTAGTACAGGCCATGAAGCTCATCACTATGCAGTTTTCTCCATGATGCAACCATCTCATTCCCTTTTAGGTCCAAATGTCTTACTTAACACTCTGTTCTCAAAGACCCTAAATCTGTGGTCTCCATCAAAGTGAGAGACCAAGTTTTGCAACCGTACAGCACAACTAGCAAAATTACACTGTTGTACACTTTAAACTTTTAGTTATTTTTATATGGGATGGGAGGACAAAAGATTTTGTACTGAATGATAATAAGCATTCCCTGCATTTTATCTTTTCTTCATTTTGTCATGAATTCCATCCTGACTTATTAGTGTCATAACCAAGTACTTGAATTTTGTCACATTTCGAACGATTCATCAGCGATCCTTATATTCTGGTTCTATCCTGAACTCTGATCCCTAGTCATTTCTGCATTTATTTCTATTGTGCTTCTGACAATTAGATTTTTTGAAGTTGCAAAATTTACTACTCTGACCCCATTATCATTATTAACTTCATGCAGAATTTCCTTACCAATAATTGGTTTAAAAAATAATCCCTCCCTACCTTTGCAATGAAATCTCCAAGCAGAATTTTCAGATGGTACCTAGGGAACTGGTGAAATACCTCTTTTAGTAGTGTCATCATCTTTATCATCAGCTGGGGCATACACATTCAGTACAACGATATCACAGCGACGACCATTCAGAGCTGAAATAATCCTATTATATACCAAATTTCCTGTCCCTAAATGGTGATTAACGTTACCTTTTCATAGAAAATGTATAATTTTCCGCTGTTTGATATACCTCCCCTTCCCACCTAACCTCTTTAACTCCCACTAACTCTAGCTTGTACTTCTCTAACTCCCCACTACTGACTTGATTGAACCTATCCTGTAGATCAGTGGTCCCCAACTTTTTTGTGCCTACAGGCACATTTGAGTGTTTATGAGATCGTGGCGGGCACCAACCAATCAACAAAGCCAAATTTTCTTTTCTCTGGACAAATAAGATATGGACACCAAATAATACACATAACAACACGACGTTTAATGATACAAGAAACCATGCAATCAAAAATACGTAGTTTCATAAGTACAGTTATTATTACTCAAGTGGGAAGTTAGTGTGATGTTTGGCACTGCATTTCATCGGCCAATTTTTCAAATTTGGGAGTGTAGGATGATGTTGCTGCTCTCAAACAATCGTCAAGATGGGCATCAGTAAGTCGAGATCTGTGCTTTGATTTTATAATGTTCATGGTTGAATGGCCTTCATTATTCAGTAAAACCTCTTTCCGTAACAACGCGGGTACCCAGAAAAAGCCTTGGCGGGCGCCACGTTGGGGACCACTGCTATAGATAATCCTAATATTCCATGTGCCAAATCTCATGTCCTTTTTACATTGCTTAGGTCATGCCAAAGAATCAGTCCAGGCCCCAGGTACTTTCAGACATTTCGCAATAAAATACATTTTTACAGTGAGGGGTTGTTAGCCCTATGCCCAACTCCCAAACTGGATAAACAACCCTTGTCGGCTGTCCGCTGCTGCTTATCCAACATATTCGCAGCTACCCTCCATATCTGGAAGCCTTATCTTCCATCTGCAACCTGAGAATGTGCCATGCCATGGTGACAATAAACCCACTTAACATGGCTGTAGAAAAGACAAGTGACTGCAAATGCGTTTGTGGATATGTTGGAACAACTTGTACTACTTCAACTTCAGCAACTGCAACTGAACATTGTGTTCCATTAAGACTGGGTGCCTCCACATTGGTTTCTTATTGAGACATTTTTTAAGGCATATGATGGTGATTCACATTTGATATACACTTTTGAACAAAATGTGTCAAGAAATAGTCTTACTTATTTCATATTAGGTAATCTTCTTGAGGTACTCTCCCATATATATATATGCAACTGTCAGGTCACATAATATGACTGTGCTAAAACAACACTAATCCATATAGTTGTTTATGAGAAACAATGAAAACTCTTGGTCTAATTTGAATATCTGTTTTAAGTCAGTAACTGTTCATGGTGAGAGAAATCTGAGGTTCTCATGGTGGTGAAGATGTTATTGGTGGTCTCTCGGTTGTGATGTCATGTGTGCTTATAAGTGGATATCAGTATTTCAAGGGAACACAATGTCTCCATATTTATTTCAGTTCTGAAGATGAAGGCAGTATGCTCTTCTGACATGTTCGTACCTACCTACAAGTCCACACAGTGTTACAACCGAGAAGACCACCACAACCCCTTTGACTGGTCCCTACCTGTATTATTGCCCTATTGTTTGAACTAAGCACAATCCAGTCCTGTCAGCACTGTCATCTCCAAAGTGACTCCCTTTGCCCTTGCTAAGATTACAGAGGTTAAAAATATCAGAAGACTGTAAATTAAGATCTATGATTTATCAATACTGCCTCACCTGAGCTTCAAGTAGCATCTTCCTGAAGGTATTTCGATCATTTTGGACTGCTTCAAACAGGTTTTCTTGTATTTTAAACTTGGTATCTGCTTCTGATATCTTCTTTTTATGATCAAAGATGGCCTTCTCATTCAGTTTCACTTTATCCAGTGTATCCTGTAGTTTCTGATTTAGCTCTTGGGACTGAAATATGTATCTGTAACACATACATTTAATTTTTTTCATTCAGCTCTGATTGTCTTATCTTTAACCAATACTTAATTTTTGGCTTCATTTTCCAACACCAGTTACTAGATACTTAATTTTAATATACTGTAATGTATAGCACTGATTACACAGTGGGTTTATTCACCTGACTGATTTATTAACCACTCTATTACAATCAATTATGCCTCATTACTGAATTGAAACTATTGAAATAATAACACTTGAAATAACTGCTCTCTATTAGTTACTCTTCCTATATTTTGGTTTGTTTGTCTCTAAATCACACATCTTTTCTTCTTGACTGCCCATAATCATGTAACTCACAGCGATGTTCTCAATTTCTGTCTCACTCATACAACCAGTTCACTTGCATAGCACTTAACACTTCATTCACTGTTCTAAGAACTGGGCTTCATGGTCAAACAGCTGGCAGTTTATAGTTTTGTAACTCTTCAACAGAGGACTCAAATATTCTATCCTAGCCCCGAAACTGCAAGTTTTGGTGGCATTATTTAGAATCTGGTAGACACTCTGAGAAGATGGCATATGCAGCATACTGAAGGGAGGAGGGACATGAATTCTCACTCTGCAGGTTTGTATAGCACATGGTTACAGATATTTTAATTTTTAAATACTAGTAATGCTAATCATAGTGTCCACACAGTTTAAGCCTCATATGGTTTTGGACCACTCAAACACAATGATCAAGGTTTGACCCCACTCAGAAAAAGGATGTGTGTCCATCTTTTTCAGTTGTCTTGTGTTATCCTGTGTAGACAGACACCTTACAATGTGTTAACCAGCCATCTAAGGAGTCTCACCAAATGTCTCAAAGTTTCAAAATTTAAGAAACAATTCTAAATTGAAGAGGGCAGAGGTCCTAATGTATGACAGTTAAGAAATAATAGAGGACTATCCTACTGAAACAAATAAAAAATTAAGACCACATATATAATTTACTATAATTACAGTATTCAAATTGCTGCAAAATATACTGTGACAAAATTGTACTCTTTAAGAAAATTAGAAAACTTTGCCCTGAGGCACTAATCCCCTGACAACAGAATCTGATATCAATGCCCACTATTGTGCATTATTCTCAGAAAGTTCAAACCATTTCACATCCTGTAAAT